TCTCATCCACCCGCAGCCCTATCCCCCAGCTGGCCCCCGGGGGGGCGGCTGCGTAGGGCAGTATTAGCAAAGCAGAGAATGCTCAGTTACAGCCTGGTCATGCAGCAGGATCTATTGCACCCCTGGTGGGGTGGGGGCAGGCGGAGGTACGGGAGGGAGTGAAGTGAAAAGTTTGGACACTGCCTTATAGACTCCCCTCCAGCTGTGCACGCTCCTTCACCTACCATGTACCCTGATAACACTCGCTGCCAGGCTCCGGCATTAAGGCGCTGCCCTTGTTGCATCATTCTGAATAAGAACAAGTCCAGTTCCCTGGAATTTGGCACCATGTGAGGCCACTTGTGCCAGGTAGAGGCACTTTCCTGGCAGGCAGTCCCTGGCGCGAGAATCACAGGCATCTGTTGGGTTTTGCTAACGTTTGCCTGTACGTGGGAAGTTGGGATGCTCCTACTGGAAAAGATCATTTTAGACTCATGTTACATCATGGCAAATGCTTAAACAAAAGTCTGGTTTCAGAGTGACTTGCGTAACCAAGATCCCTTGTTCGGGAGGGAGCAGTGAAAGCAGGACGAGGCGATTTGGTGACACAGCCAAGTGGCAGTGGCAGGCTGGCTGTAGCAGGTGAGATGGCTGCCAAAGGCAGCAAGCGGCGGTGTGCAGGCTTCCTTCCCAGTGTGCCTAGCGCAGGGCCTGGGCTCCGCACAGCGCTGCTGCTGGGCTGAGCTGGGCCAGCTTAGCAGAGAGCCAAGCACAAAACATCGTTCCCTTCAAACAGGAGCGCTGCCGGCAGCTCACTGAAATGTGAGGCGCCCGGCGCAGGGAGCCCCTAAGACACAGCTATAGGCAGCGGCAGGTGCTTACAATGACGGGATTCCCCAGCTAGGACTCTGCTCAAACCCCTACCCCAGCCCCCCGAATCAGCCAATAAAACCAATGGCGCGGCTTAACACGCACTGACGAGCCGACTCCCAGCTCCAGCTGCAGTCTCCCTACCCAGGGGGGACAGCTAGGGGCGTGGAACTTCCTGCAGCTGGTGGGTCTGGGCCAGCCCAGGAGCAGCCCCTGCAGGGGAAGATGACCCATCCCTCCCCGTTCCCAGTGGACCAGCAGCTGGAGCCCTGCGCAAGGGAGGAACCCCTGGATGGGCCCAGATTTCACAGGGGAGATGAGATGTTTTCCATGGTGGTGGATGTGGCAGGGCCCTAAGCCGAGGGCCGGGAAGTGGAGAAGAGGCGAGGATCAAGCACGGACAAGAGCAGTGGAGGAACCAGAAACAGGCTTGGCTGCAGGGTTCACGCGCAGCTTAGAGGGACACTACTGGGCAGCTGGGCACTGCGGCTCCAGGCCCCGCCGGGCAGCCACACATTGGAGCTGGGTGGTTGCAGGCCACGGCTCTCTGCCTGCTGGGCCACGGCTACCACAGCCCCCAGCCCTGCTAGGCAGCCAGGCTCTGGGTCTCCCCCCCCGGCAGCTTCCTGCAGGAAGCCTTCTGCCCTGCCAGCCCTGCAGGGGTCCCTGCTGCAGGCCCTCCAATGGTACCAGACGACCTGACTTGCTAATTGGGATCCCGAAGAGGGAGGCTTTTCTGACTGAAATATTATCATTTGCATGGTGTCAGATGCCATCCACATAGCAGACTGCATCATACTCCAGTCCTTCGTCACAAATACATTCAAAGTGATCACAGAAAGCGTTAATAGGTAGAAGCACACGAAACGCCCTGTTCCCAGGGTCTCCTGATAGACCAGCTCTGCCGCTTTTTCAAAAAGACTTCAGCTTCGCTCGAGCTGGCATGAGCTGAATGGTGTGACCCACAGGGCACAGCGATGCATCAGGCAGCCGGCACCAGCAGCACTGCAAAGGACTCTGCTAATTACCTGAGCTCTCATCATTGGTGCTTCAGAACACGATTGTCTGGGAGCATTTGGTCTTGGCACACAATCAGCCTGAAAGTGCAGGCGCTGCATTTGTCAGGCTGATCTCCGTGTTCTCTGCATCTGATGATCACAAAGCATGTTAGAAACATTAAGCCCCGGAAAGGCAGGTTCGTATCTGCACCCATCTTACAGAGGAGTAAACTGAAGCGCAGAGCACGTCAGGGACGAGAACCCTGGCAGTCTGACCCTCCATTCCTATTCTAACCACTAGGCTATATTTCTCTGCAGTGGCTTCTAATTCTGCAGAAGCAAGAGGGGCGCCTGCCTGCTGACTTCCCTCTCCTACTTTGCCAGCACATTGGCTTTCTTTGCAGAGTCTCCATGTAAGATCTAGCCCAATGCCATTGGCTATGACCTGGGAACAACTCAGCTAGGCTGGCTGCAGAATCTTTTGTGTAAACATTCATTCGGCCCACATGAGACACTGCCTAACACGCCGGCTGTGAGCTTGGGGCATACCACCTCGGAGCACCGGTGGGGAGACTGGATCAGAGCCAATGGCCAGCCCCCACGGTTCCATGCGGACGACACGCATAGTCTGCCGCACATGGCAGGAGCAAAGTGAAGATGGACTGTGCCAGAGTTCCCAATGCCAGGCAATCCTCCGCCAGCCTCCCCAGGCACCTAGCTCCCACCTCTCCTCGCAGCTGAGGCAGGCCGCGAGAGCAAGCCAGTGCTGGGGCAACGAGCCGCTATTGCAAAACCCGGACGTTGGGGGGGAGGGGCACTTTCAAACGTGCCTAAGGGATTCAGGAGTTCATGTGCCACTGACTTTCCATGGGAGGTGTGCTTCTAAGTCCCTCTCTCCCTGAAGCTTTCTGGGAGGCCCCTATCAACAGTGACGACCCTGAGCTAACGCTGGGTTTGGGATGGCTGGGCTTTGCACACGAGGCTGTGTTTTGGTCACACAGCTCAGCTGTTCTGTTCAGAGTGTCAGATCAGCCATGCCTGAGTGAATTCCTAATCTGTGCAGCTGCACCATGTGTCCCCTGGCTGTATCATTCCATAAGGGACACACACTGCGACGGCACAACTTGGCAGCGCTCCCCGAGGGGATGTCTCAGAACCTGCTAGAACATCACAATTTGGTTGCATGAGAGGAGAAGAAATTTAATTGAGTGTTGGTAGCAAACAGAAGAATCATGTGGTGCCATAAATTCAGGTGAGGTCATGTCACCTTCAGAGGTCAGACACAAACACAATCATTAAAACACACCACTAATCCTCTGCAAAGAAACCAGAGCAAAGTGTCCGGACTACGGCCCTGGGGTCTGAACAACGCCTCGACACATGCTGCAAACTTCCGCTGTGCCGAACATGCTTCCCACAGGCTGACAGGAGTGCAGAGCAGCTGTAGCCATGTGCAGTGTCCGGACCAGAATGGACAGACAGCCGCCAGGGTGGCATATTCCTAGCCTGGTCCACTTCTCATCAGCATGGGCACACATCCTCCTGTCTACTCAGCACTCCCTCTCTGCTGCAGGCTGCTTCCCCTCACCAGTGTTATCTGCTACGGCGGGAGGGAATACTGCTGCCCTATGTCGGAACACGCCCCAGCCAGCGGGGTGAGATGCCTGCTCTATTAACTCCCCACAGCTTGCCCCAGACACACAGGAGGTGCTGTGCTCTATCCTCCTTGCCCAAGAGCAGTGTTATCCGGGTGACATCTGACTTGCAAACTTTTGACAATAGGCAGCCACTTCCTTCTGCTCCCGTCCTTTCCTCAAAGAGCCCTCCTTTCTGTGAGCTCAGCATGGAGACAGGCGGGTCTCTGGCGGTAGCAGGCACATGCAGCTGTTTGCCGTGGAGAGGAGAGAGAGTTTGAAAATGCCACTGCTCTGTGTCCAGAGCAGAAGGGAATTGGAAGAGGAGGGCTTTTACGTTACCCTCAAAGGGTTAAATGCAGAGCTAAAAAGAGCGAGGGTTCTGCTGAACTACCCCGAGGTTTGGCTCCTCTTTTACTTTTGTCAAGTGTGAAGCAAAGCGGAGAGGAAAACGTGGACTCAGGCACAGCTCAGCGCATGCGCAAGTGACGTGGAGCCTGCACTGTCTGTCCAAACGTAGCCGCAGGCCACATTTGTAAGACACTGGGGCATGCAGGGTCAGAGTACCGCTGGGATGATCACAGGTCTGCACGAGGGAGAGCTGAGTAGCGCAGGGGTGGGCAATAATTCCAGAAGTATGGTAAGTGGTCAAGGGCTGCGCTTTTCTGTCTGGGCTGAGGGCGGGGTGCAGAAGGGAGCTTGGGGCACGGGAGAGGGCGCGGGCTCTGAGAGGGAGCGTGGGTTGTGACCAGGGCCTGGGAGGGGTGGTGACCTGAGGGAGGAGGGGAGCAGAGACCTAGGACAGGGAGATGGGGTGTGGAAGGAGGTGGGGGGGGTCAGGGTAGCCATGAGGCACTTACCCAGGTGGCTCCTCACGGCCCAGGAACCCTCAGGAAACCAGCCGATAGGAGCTGCAATGATTGTACTGCAGTGAAGCTCCCCCCACTTAGCGCTTGCAAGACGCCCGTTTAAACGTGCAGCATTTCCTCACTTGTAGCGGTTTGAAGCAGCGCGTGTGCCCTCACCCAGGCAGTGCATCCCACTCTTTTCAGGGTCATTCACTAGCACTGTGCTCACAGAGCACCCTCAGTCCGGCCTCCCATATTGCTAATCCAGCCCCCGTGGGCTCACAAGCGCTGCCTCTCTCCGGGTCAGGTGCTTGGCAAACGTCAGCCCAGCGCCCATGGCTACAAGCAGACACGTTAGGCTTTCAGACCGACCGGGATCAGCTCACAGAGAGCACGCGCAGAGGGGCATGAACACCACTCGCTCTGCAGAGGCAAGTGACCCACAGAGCCAGGACTAGCCTACACTCACTGGCCCTGTAAGCCAAAGCCAAAGTTCTACCCGCTGGGTCATGCGGCTGCTAGCCCGACATGGAGCCCACGACCTACCATAGCAGAGAGAATGTCAAACCATCACCATCTGCTCCAGGATGTTGCTAACACCTCCCCTGGAAGGCACATAGTGGGTCAGGCACCCCTCCAGACCATTTCACAAACCCTCGTGTGAGCAGAGAGGCATTCGGGATCTTAAACTATGTGGCCCTTTGTAATTTCCACATCCCTCAGCAGCCTTCCCAGCCCAAACAAACGCCCACTGTCCTTAGCTCTCCCTCGTGCACCCACACCCTCGCGATCTGCAAAGTGCAGAGAGATCTGCTCTCCAGTGGGTTTCCTGGCCCACGCCCGCAGGCCATAGCGTAGGCAGGAAGTCCGGAATCACAGGTCAGCCGGGGGGAGGAAACGGGAAGGTTGGCTCTGTCCCAGTGCTGTGCTCTTTGTTTATGGAACAACGTGTGTGAACTCACACACCAAGGCCAGGTCTACACTGCAGGGGCCTTGCAGGGAAGCCTGGGCTGCAGGGAGTATGCAGGGGCTACGGATGGGGCCTGCGCTGGGCCTCACCCTGGCCCCTCTCCGGATCTCAAAATCAGACAGCTATGTAATAACACAAGTTGTATGCTCAATACTGTAAGCACTAAAAGGGGGGGGAGGGTGAGGAGGAGGAGGAGGAGAAGCCAGGAAAGCCTGCGCTGGGTGGGGCCAGAAATCTCTGCCGAGCTTTGTGCCTCACCTGTCAAAGACATCAGGACCCGCCGGGCTCTGCACAGCTCTGGCAGGGGCAGCTGGCGGTGTCTGGAGGCAGCACGACAGGAATCTGGACAACCTGATAAGAGGCGAGAATTCAAGTGGTCTGTAAATAGGACTAACGGCAGCCGAGGGAATGCTACATATGGCAATGTGTGTGGGGCTGGGGCACAGCTAGGGACGGGCCACAGTGTCACCTTTCACTCCCCGCCAGGCGGGACGGGTCCCCCACACCCTGCACCAGACGCCCCTCGCTCTGGGGCACAAAGGGGGCAGCCCCCTGGTTAACACTGCCCAGGCGCCACACAACTCACTTCAGCCAGGGAAACCGCTGAAGGCCCAAAACTAGACGTGCTCACAAAAAGAACCTGAGAATGCCCCTGCGTGGGGCAGTAGCCTGGGTGGGCAGGGTGGCTCCCCATGCGATGCACGTCCCTAGCCTCTGCTGGCCAGACATGGGAACCGCCCCGGCCTGGTCATTCC